CGGCTTAATTTTGTTGTTTATGGGCGTTGAAGTAGGAACCCAAATTCTTCAGTTAATCCGTATGTGCAGTTTAACGAAAATTCCGGAGCAGCTATTCCCAGAAATAATGGCTTGTGTTTACTTGGAACAGATTAGAGGACAAGTAGACACCGTTTTCATGATGGAACAAAGACTTCGACTTCCAGCCTTGAGCAGTTCATCTAACAGCACTTGCGAAGCAAGCTCGAAACGATCAACCGCTCGGCCGAAACGCAACTGGTCAAAAGGATCCCGAAAACACGTAACGAAAAAGAAACGAATTTCAAATACCTCAACTTCGATGCGAACAAGCTCAATATTGACAAAAGATGAAAGCAATATTCTCTCAGAAATCACCCAAAAATCAAGGTAAACTTATCAGCTGGCTAAGTTCGTATTGCTGCTTATTTTTCCTTCTTATCTTCACTTATCCTTATGATCTTTTGCTTGTGGTGATCAAGTTTTATGCTAAACCCTTGATAAAAGAGTTTCTGAACCACAGATTAAAATGTTTAAGAAAGAAGTGTGATGTGTACCACTCAGATTCAAATAAACGCGGACTCCCCATCTGTAGGCGCTATTCTGTGACAAAATGTGGCCCTTTTTGTGTATTTACTGGAATCGGGCCTGGATATATACAAATTGCTCTCCAGTACTCCAAGGCCTAACAAAACCTATTATTATTCCAATATTGAATTTCCATTAAAACCTGAATATGAACATATAATTCCGCATGGCGACTGCCCCCATGCTTTGTTTCCTATCGTGGGTTATGATCCGCAAATTGTTCTGTTGTCCCTTTAATTTAATTAAGAGAGTAATAAAGGAAAATAGCGAAGATGTGGAGTGGTTTATTCTTCTTTCTAGTCGCCTTGGTGAGATGTTACTGAATAAATGGTATGGAACAGAAGATGGTCAGCAGGTATCTAACTAGAGCTGAACGGTTTTGACTGTCGTCAAGGTAAAAATGGTTCAGAATCAACAATTTCTGCGCTTACTGTTCACAAAATAAGCGAGTTTAAATAAACGCAACTGACAAATAAAGATCTAAAATATGTCAATTAGTGTATCCTTTTTCAATGTGGGCTGAACCGGTTGATCAATTATGGAATACAAAATCGGTACGCTCAAACGATTCCATCCGCATAGAACCTTATGAATGTCACCGCACCGAATTGAAGAGCAAAAGTACAGTTTTCGTAAGTTTATCATAGCTGGATTTTGCCAACATAAATGGCCAAGTATACTCTCCCATGGTGGGTCGAATAAACAGTGGAGTCCTCTAAGTTGGTGTTATCGATTATAAGTGACGCCCAGTGTTGTAACTTAGTAAACGGTGACGGCGGTGAGTCCGATTATTTTTCAACTCCCATATGGTGGGCTCTTGTGTTGTTGACCCGATTAGCTTTTTGGTAGCATTTAGTTTCTCCTTCCTTGGTTGACCAGATGATTGGACGGAATACAGCAACGAGAACCCGATCACGTAAAGGTGTCACAGAAGGAGTGAATCAGAACACTTCTGTATGTTTTTGAGTAAATGAGAATTTGGAAAATACATCTTTGTGAAAGTGATTGAAATGTCCTCATGTCATTGGTTAGCAACACAAATCTATCAATGCAACAAAAACCTTTCAACCCCATGTATGTAGCGATGAATCCTTTCGTTTGTACACTCATACCTGAGGGAAAATCCAGTGATGGCGACGGTGCCAAAACCGGTCATTGTACAACGTTCAATCAATGTCAGGCGAGATGGGTGTAATCGGAGGGATGCTGAAGTGTACTTCATCCAACCAATTTTTAATGAAATAAATAAATAAGACACTGGTATCTCTTCTTGAATTATTTTCGCACTAGACGTACACTTCGTAAATTATGTTTAATGCATCAGCGATCAAGACTATTCCGATAAAAATCCAATTAATAACCGTTTACAATGCAATTCACCGAATCAGTCATTAGTCACTATCTCAATGCTAATTAATGTAGGAATTGTTTACACTGGTCATTACAAAGTTAGTAAGTTATCTCCACCTCTTACATTCGTTTTCACTAGAAAGTTATCTACGCTCGTACAGGAGTCTACCGATATTTTGTACCATATTTAGCTCGTTATCCTAGAAACTAAGAAAAAATGCATTGCATAATTGACCAACCATTGTGTACGTGGCTTCCAACCGGTCTGATTATTATTGTTGGATTTATTTATCTTATTTATTTATGTTGAAACGACTAGCCACCACCATAAAGTATTCACTTGATTCGGTCACAATTCTATGATATTTGAACAACTTTTCATTGCAAGTTTGGGTTGTAAGTCACTCATTGATTTCCACCTATTCATTATATTTTTTTCTTTCATTTACAGTGCAAAGAAACCGGACACATTCTATCAGATTCGCATATAAATTCGAACGTGGTCAGATTGGGCACGATCATTGAAACGAAAGAATAAGCAGCTGGTTGATGAAGAAACGTTTATGTAAATAACTTCTGCGATACACTCTGCTGCACAGATAGCTTTTTGTAAGTTAAGCGAACTTGAAGTGGCGCGTAAAAAGAACTTACATGAAGCAGACAAGTTTTTTTAATTGCTTTAATGAACGGTGTAAGGATTTCTCCCTCAATTCTTACTGTTGGGTGTGGCGCTGAGTTTCTTGCCTGTCAGCAATCATTGGGAAACTGGTGAGATGAATCAAATGGATTCAACAATCAGAAAGCTGATCAGCGGCTTACGCGATCACTCGATTCTATCAGAAAATTGACGTTTTGGAAACTGTTGAATAAGGCGTTCGATGATTGCACCCATGAAAAGTCAAACCGGTCAAGATAGGCATGAAAAAATGTACTGGACTGGGCCAAAATCAGTCATTACTCACTCGATACCATCGGACTGAAGCAATTTGGGTTAGATTCTAAAATACGAAACTTACAAGTGGAAAACAAACGTGCAGGAAGAGAGCGTACTCGCTTGCGAGACAGACAGAGTGGAATAAACGTAGCATAGGAAGAGGCTAAGGCGAGGGTCAACATTTCGATGGATTTTGTCAAGAAAACAAGAAATAGTCTGTCTGGCATGCAAAAAGTGAGGACTAGAACAAAATGATGAATAAAAAACGAAACGAAAACACAAAAGGCAGGTGAATCAGGAAGGCACAGTGACTGAAATGCAGAGGACTAGTGCAAGCCATGACGACAAGGCAGCAAGCAAGTGCTTAGTAGGGAAGTTCCGCCTCCGTTGCTATTACGAAAACAAAGCACCGAAGAGTTTTAACATTTTGAATGTGTGTCTAATCAATTTCACTTAGGCATCATCCTTATGTCGAGCGTAGAGCGAGTAAAGCAGGCGTAATGTGGCCTTCAGATCATGACGTAAGACATCGTCCGCATGCCCAGAACCGAGGCTGATACCTTCGACATCTTCGGCTAACTGCAGAGCCAATTGCAAATTTGCCAACCTCTGGGCATTGGAGACTGGTGTGATGTGATAAGCGTGAAGGGGGACAAAAAATCCTCGCAGTAAGCCCATTAACAGAATGAAGTATACTCCGTCATCCATCTGTATGGGATGAGTGAATAAAGAGAGGAAGACGTGTCAAAAACCGGCATAATCATTTTATTTCCAAGGTATTTCGGGTTTTCCAACGGTATTTTTCACAACGACCTCGGAAACGGGATAAATCATGAATGTACTTGAGGATTTACATAATCACAATAATAATCGGTAGTATGACGAAAGCATGCTCTGGGCTTCATCAATCTATACTCCTTGGTTAAATAAACTGAATAGAAATATAAAATTGAGCAATCAAAATTCAGCGTAATTTCGGAATTCTGATGTTTCTTCTTCTCTTGGGCAGCAGCAGCGGCAGCGATCACACTGAAACGGACAGGTGCTGCTGTCGTTACTGCAATAACTGCACAAAAATGACTACACATTCTGATTTCACGCGATGATGAAAATCAATCGCACTAGTCGATGTTCAACTAGTCCCGCAACGTAGCTTTTCGATTTTGACTTATGCAAAAAGCAGGTGCTCATCATATGTGCATTAAGCTACCCTATTTAAAATAATTTGCGATAGAAAGAGGTTTGCCCTTAGGATGATGTACCAGTACTAGAGGCTCTTCGGGGTAGAAATAGAGACATTCGAAGACTAGTAGAATAAAGTTTTCCAATCTTGTCAATCTAGAAAGATGAACGCGGCTGGGTCACATCTGATGGTATTGGTAACACGAGGCATGGGACAGTGCAAAAAGTGATAGAATCTTTAAGGACATTTATTTGTGATATCACTAGTGGGATGAGCTCTAAAGTGCATGCACCCTTACCTCGGTTTCCAAATTGTTCACAGTCAAGTTCAATTTGCCCAGATGACGATTCATGAAGTCGAGCAAGGTTTGTTGAAAAGCGGCCAGTTTCTCGGGGACTGCACAATCCACAAGCGCACTGATAGCGTCATGATCAGCCTCGGTATCTGAAAGCACAGTGCAATGATGGGAGACATGGAGGTGAATAAACAACTTCACACTGATGATGAAAGCAAACCGGAAATACAAGCTTACAAGCTTAAGGGATTGGATTGGGTGTTGACGTGAAAAAAATTGTGGAGCGGAAAGAGTGTTTGACTTCGACAGAAAATATACAGAGAAATAATAGGAATGCGATAAAAAATTAGTGCGGCGTGGAACTTCCGAATGGACCGCAGGTACTGTTAATGTATTCAAGAACAGGAGGTCGTGAGTAAGTGTTTCAAGGATTGACAGCTGTTTCTGTAGTCCGTGGGTAGATGGACACACCCGTATTTCTACCAGATATCAATTCGTTGCTTCTGTAAGTTTTACACACAACTATTAACCACCTCTACCTGAATATTAAAAAAATACTAGAATAATCTACTTCATCTGATGCTTTGATTTCAGAATATGTTGAGCTATAACAGTTCAGTAATGCTAGAAAATCTTCAACAGATTCGCTGGTAGAACAAAATGAGCACCAGTGACAATTTTTGGTATCCTTTCTGGGGAATATTTCTATGATTGAAAGAATAAAGTAGACAGCTTCTGAAGGGTTGACACAAAACAAAGGAAACGGTAAGATTTTTACAACCAGAACACTAAAGAAAAGGTATTTGGGATATTTAAACTCTCAGTTTGGCGTCTTCATGGATACACCCGATCCTTAATCCATCAGAACAAATCTTCAAAACCGTTTCACAATAGTCAATACAGTAACGCATCGTTTTTTTCATCTGTCCGCTGTACAAGCACTAAATCTAATACTATGAACCAAACCAGAAATGGCTAACCTCACTCCCTACTCCAACCCTCGAATGCCCACTAACATTTGTCTATCACACAATTCACTGGCTATTTTCATCAGCCAACCCACACACGTTCTGAAGCATTAGGTCAACGTCATAACGTCTTCCAGCTTCGAGTAACTTTAGCAAGAGAGCTGATTGTTAAACTTCCCACAGATACCAATCATTATAAACGAAGTATAGATAAACTGGACTTGTGTGAATATTCTATCAAGAACGATTCAATTTTTACTATGGTCAGCAGGTTCCCACTGAGCTGCTCAAAATCCAATAGCATTTGTCCCAGGAATCAGCAAAGGATTTGCATGTATAAAATTGGTCCAAGCTCTCCAACTTTCATAGATAAGGAATAATGGGCAGGAGTACGTAAGTATAGTGGTGAGGAAACGGATCAGGTACTATGAACAATTGATAGTTCTTAGGCAATCGACGAATTCCCACCCTTTCCCTCTGTTCAACCCGAGTATGACGGGTGATCTTTGACCTTAGCACTTATTTTGCCCAGTTGAGTGTTTTTGATGTTTACAGATTTGTCATTGTCCTGATCGAACTTTCACATGGATTTTTGTACACAGCTGAAGAGATAACGCGAAACGGTTGAATTCAACCTGTTCTGTGATTATGCTTGCTCTCAGGTCCTGCAACCTATACTGGCCAGTTAGAGCACATAGGATGGTGCATTGAAGAAGATCACAGGATGTAATGGACTACCGAAAACGAAAGCATGATCTTAAAACTACAGTTTACGTCCAACGCGGAGGACACGATAAACTTTAAAAGTTGTGCAATTTGTCGTATAAAGAACGGATGGTTTTTGAAGCTTTATGGAGTAAAATCGATCCTTTTGTCTTTCATCTTTTGTTGAACATATGATAATGCAGTTTTCAGGAACAGGGAAGCGGTCAATCAATAGGCCCCCATAAAACAGGGAACGTCAGGCTGTGTAATTGTGGGATTGGAACACACGTCCTCAGAGGTGACAAGCTGACGACCTTGACCGTTTGGCCACCACCGCATGTCAATCGTACAGACGGGACTGAATGGTCAGTAACCTGACTCTCTGTCCTAGCACACACAACTTGACCTCAGGTCTAATGGAATGTTATGACACTCAGGTTCACAGACCAGCACCAGTCCGAATAGGTTCGAATCGCACAGAACACTAGTGGCGGTACTGACTAACTGGACGCATGCACATACCGAAATGCACGCTCACACACACACACACAATAACACGCGTGTATACATTCCTCTTATTAGGTTACCATCAGGCGATTTTTTATCCTAAAACGGTATTTTGAGAACCCCGTTCAATCGACTCCACAAAGACTTTCATTGACTGGCCAAAAATACCAATGTGGCGCGATGAGGACATTTGGTTTATTCTCTTCAATTATTGACAGGCTGACAGATTCATAACATGTTGAGTTGATCAATCAAAGGGAGCAAATATGTACACACAAGAAAGATAGGTAAAATAAAAGTAGAAGGTCAATAGGCTTAGTAAATCAAGAGAGGGTTTACTGTGGGTCTTGTTGCCGTTAAGAGTTTCACATTATATGACCCCGGGTTTCTTGTGTTTGCCGGTTTTTGACCGCGTCATCGACTTTGCCAACCAACATGGAATATATTCAACCATCCGTTGTGATGGCTGACGGGATGTTCTGCTTATGCATGCGTCATCGCAATTGGGAGTGGAATGATACACAGTGTGAGATAGAACCGGTCTTCTAGCCATGTTTACGTTTGTCCAGATCGATTACGCCTGCAGAGGCAATAAGTCTGATTTGGGCAGCTGGGAGTGCGCGGTCTAACTACTCTCGCAAAGCATAAAACGTGATTACCCTTCAAAGCCAGCTTGATATAGACCGCCTTTTTGCCAACTCTCTAGGCTGGGTTATCTTTTCGGAATTGTTAATTGTGGATGTCGAAGTCAAAGTTTTTATTGTGGGGAATACTTACAAGCGGGTGTTTTTCATGTTCTTTGGAGCTTTTGGCACAACTGACCGATAAGAGAGAGAGAGAGAGAGAGAGATGAGGAGTGCCACTAAGTGTCACTGTTTAATGTATTGCTACGGATGCTGAAATTTAAGACACGATAATAACTGACCCAGTCTCTGTTTGACGGAATCAATTGTGGGAACAGAAACGACGTGAGCTAGTACGGATTTCCAAATACTATGGTATTCAGTGTCATCTGTCGCAAAACATGTCATTACAACAAGACACAGTTGACTAACATTTGTCTTTCAAACCACAATCACTTAATCGCAGTGCTAAGCTTTTGGCAATTAGTGAAGCGTTTTTTATTCCGTTGCACCACCCGATCTTATGCGCACACAAGGTTATGCTCCAATCAACCCATTTGCCATGGAGTTGACCTTCTACTGTTATATTTAATAATCGTCTTATGCTTGTGTACTTTCATTCACCATAATCGAACAGCCCTGTGTGTTATATATGTGTGGTGATCGTGTAACGATTATGCACGCACCGCGGTACAACGTCCAGGTAACCAATCAAGAAACGGGATAACCGACCATTCCTGTGGTCTCAATGGGCATCATCCGGATTGGCTGAATGCAAGAAGGCCAACAGATAAACCATATCGTTGTCGATTGGACATTCAAGAATCGACCAATGATTGTTTGTTGCTTGTGATATATTTCCATGATTTTTTGAACAGAACTAACTGTATCCACAGCTCGTCTTCGTTCTACCTGACTTTGCGCTATTCAGTGGGTTTCCAGTCCGATTCCGAGTTCGCACTATTCGATTTCGATTCCTATTCCGAATACTACAAGATGTCTATTTATTTTAAGTAAGCAACCGATAAGAATAAACGAAATGTTAGCATTTTGTGACATTTGTCTTCTTTCTGTATTGATGAATTGGATAACGGGGATTCATGCTTCGAATTATTATATACACCAAAATCAAGTACCCCCGAATTCGACAACAATGGGTGAGGTACAACCCTAATGATTAGTTTTCTCACATAGGTTTTGGATGCAGTCCTTTGGCCACCTTGATGGAAGTTACAAAATCTTAAGATCTCGTTGGAGCCATGCGGTTTACCCTTGAATGGCGTGGATCAACTGTAGGCTGATAACAGGCGTGGGAGCAGCATAGGATCACATTTGACAAAAACTTGTTTTAGCGAGCCGATATTTCTTACGGCTGGGGACTACGCCTTGGAGCACTTCAAACAGGGTCGCCCTAAACGATGACACCAAAATCCTTCTCATCTGCCTTCTCATTTGCCATATGAAAGTTGTTACTATTTTAGGAAGTACGGTAAGAGGATGCAAACATAAATTTCAACGCATTGAATTCAATGTCATTTGGGTCAACCGTTGATTAGTAATACCAAGTATTCTCTAAAGTGCCAGTTATTCCTCAAGTTTTGACACTCTATCCCATATTCTGCACAATTTGCCAACATTAACATTTTTGGCCCCAGAATGTCCGTTAGATCATCTACGAAATCAGGAAATAATTTAGGACCAAGCACGGATCACTGTGGAATCCCACGGGTTACGCTGATAAGACCAGATAGTGACCCAGAAACCCGAACTGCCATGGTGCGTTGCCTGATGAATTCTTTGATCTAACCCGAGACAAGTCCCCGAATTCAACAACCGTAAAGTTTCTTAATTAGTATTTTGTGGTGCATAAGGTCAAATGCCTTGAAAAAGTCGTAGCACACTACGTCCACTGAATCACCATGATCAACTGTTTTCGTTCATTCTTCTAGGATTCACAGCAAGATAGGGATACACGATCGCTTGCGGTGAAACCCCTGGGTGTAATCAGTTGTATTTTTCAAATGGTCCATCACGACGGGGAAGTAGTTAGCCGGTTACTTCGAAAGCTGCATTTGTATACAGGAGAAATTATTCTTTGCTCCATATTTAGGGAACCACAGTATTGTCGAACTTACGTTGGAATAGTTCAATTAATTCCTCACTCATGTTACTTGCCAGGTCGATAAGGGCTTGGGGATGAATTCGATTGATCTTTCGCTGGAGAACGAATTCTTTCTAAACGCAGCGGTTGCGATGTTGTTTGCCGGGGGAAAATGAATAGTGGTTAGAGTTGGACGTGGTACGTACTCCAGTAACTGAGGATTTCTTATTCCGGTATCAGCAGATGTAGTGAACACTTGAAAATATTGATGTTTAAACATTTCAGCTACCATCTTTGACGTAACTGAAGCACATCATGTTGAACTTTGCGTTGGAACGCCAGACTCAACTTTTTCAGAGGCATTTGCGTTTGTAAAACAGTTTTGGAGTGTAAATAAACTTGCCCGTTACCTTTTCCTGGTACATCAACGTGTCTTCCCACGTTAATTTGGTGCAGCGGTTTTGCAGTAGACAATAGGTATACCGTGTGTTACTACACAAAAATCGTTTGTTTGCTCTTCATGAGATATTCATTCCTCCGCAAAATACACTTCTTTATTCGATTTCGAATCAGGGATTTTTGGCCAGTTTGGTTAGTGACTTGTTTGATCCCTATCACAACCTTCACCACATCTGCCAGGTGATTTCGTAAATTCCTTACAGGATACCAGTTGATCACACTATCAGTTAAGGAAAACTAATTGGGAGTCCTGCTATAAGATCTTACGTTTGATGTTGATAATAAACGCACAAGAGTTAACCATAGACATTTGTGATAAAGCTGCGTAGCAAATAAAGTCCTATAACGATCGGTTTGTGGTAAAAGTCGTTTTCACTAACAGAGCCTTGTTTACTTACACCAAGTCCGTGACCGATGTTTAATTTTCACACGTCTTAGTCCACACTGCGTGCCAAAAAAATCACGGGACAATAATCTTGATGAAAAGAAAAAACTCCCTGATTTGTTTGAGGACGCGATACTGCTAAATTGTCTAGACGAAAGTAGAAGACAGTTTTTGGGGGAATATAAGACCGCAGCCTTCAGATAGCCAAAGCCTGACCCTTAAGGCAGCGAGGTGGTGTGAAAACCGCAATCCATTGGGGGCCGGTGTCCATGAATGATGATGAATGGTTGCCTGATTGGTTTCTTCACAAAAAGTGGATACGATTCAGTAAACTATAAAGTTCTGCTCAAAAAGTTGTTGTATGGAGGTCACTGATTTGACCCGATTTGGAAGTTACCCAAAATGATGACATGCGTAAAATTCAACAGAATGTGATACCTGGTTTGCGGCATCATCTCATCGGCTGAGCGTGTGAATCAAGGAAAACGGTACCACACGCGGATCAAACCAATATCACGTTGCGAATGTTGCATTGTGCACCGCATTCACTCAGAAGCCACATAATCGATTACCTCGAGTTGCAGTTCACTGCTAGAGTAACTCATTGCCACCTCTTGTAGGGTGATCGTGTTTGAGTAGCGTCATGCCGTGCAAGCGTAATTGAATTCAAAGTATGTTTCGGTAATCACAATAATGTACCACGGTCAGTTTGGTAACGCAGATCCATCTCTGAAAAGTCGCTGGGGAAAGCTTTGAAATTGATGCAGATAGTAGCGGGGCAGAAATTCATTGGAGTGTGAAGGATTCATTGAGCCGACTGTGTCTTGGTTAGGGGAAGGGTTTTGGGAACAGTTTGTTGGGTCTGATCTACTAGTTGCGATGAGGAAGATGAACTCTGTGGCGATCCAGCCTGTGTAGTGACGATGTTTTCTGCTTGCCGAAACAGGTAGTGAGTGGAAGGAGACTATGGTGGTCAAAATAAGCCCCTGCACGAGGGTATGGAAACCCTAACCAGGAGACTCGGTCACATAGATCACGTTAGGCTCACTGAATGGGTACCTCGAGATGGTAGTAACCGGAGGGTAGAGACACTAAGTGATGTGATTGAGTGTCGTAGGCAGTGGTATTCGTGCATCTCAATTTCTTTGCAATCCCAGTCTACCGAAATTCTCTATTTTCTCTTGAGCTCTGTTTCAACCTTCCTGTCCCCCTCCTACTGCTTCATCCAAATGGATAGCTAAAGGACATCAATCAAAAACCGACGTATGAAAGTGCATGATTAACAATTGTGCCAACTTAAACTGATATTTTCTGCCCGAGGATGAATATTTGGTTCTGATTTTTATACGGGGCCCAAGAGCAGTTCTTGTAGTCCTTTGTTCTTGTTCTAGTACCATGACTGTCAGACAGCCTTAGACATTTTCTTAATATTTTCGTGTGTCTGGTTCATCCATTTGCATTTAGGAATCACTCGGAGAGTCTCTGTTTCTCGCGAAACCACAAATGGGCCTGATTATATTTCAAACTGCACCAGAAACCAGATATTTCATTTATAATTGGGTAATACTTTCAAACATTATACTTTATTTGATATCAGTTGAATTTAAAGGGATAGTCAATGTGGGTGGACGTGAACAGGAATATGGCTTGCATTGCTGACCAGATTGCGGTTAGGAAATCGAACAAATAATTCCAACCCGCGGTGAAGTAAACAGTTGCACCGGTCAGACTAGTCACGAGATCACCTACCTTGGTAGTCCTCCGTATCAGTGATTGGTTGGGTTTGTCGACGATGCTGAAGCATGCCGTTGAGTTTGCGCACAACTAGGACAGTGATCTGCACACCACGTGGCAATCGAACGGATGGGGCAAAACGACGAACTAAAGCAACCAGGAGACGCAAGATGGCGACCAGATCACGATCGAATATGGTAGAAACAGACCAGTGTTGTGCAGCCCAAACTAAGGACACATTAAGAGCTGTGTTAATTTCATCTAGGACAAGCTAAACGAAGAGAAAGAGAAGACAAAAACACAATGATTGCCGACATGCAATCAAAGCTATATGTGAACGCGGCAAATATGGGAACCTTAAATTGATAAGATTAATTGTAAAATATTAGCAGTAACTTGTTTTGTAGTCCTAAAGTAATCGGATATTACCTTGAGTCTCTGTCTTTGTCCCATCTCCGTCTGTGAGACTTCAGGATGATTAATCTTGACACCAAGCAACTTCTCTATTAGCTTCTGTAACACTTGTCCGTCGTATAGGTCAGCTTCGAGATCGCGTACCAGAATACGATCTTCTACTAGTTCCATATTGATCCACTCAATCAAATTTCGGATAGTTTCTTGTACTAGAGGGTGCTCCTATGAAAAAAATACAAAGAAGTTTGAAGAAACGAAGAGGGAGCGTTACTGACTATTACGCAGAGAAATCTGAACAAAAACTCACTTGATTGTTCTTTTCATTAACATAAGCAGAATCAAGGGAAAAAACCCAGGTTGGTTAAACACGGGAGCTACAAGGTTCCATTCAAATGCAATCACAGTGCATCTCGTAGGTGCTGGACAACGAGTAAACAAATATNCCCTCTGACAAAGCTGTCTAGCAACAGCGGAAGCTGTAGCAATAAAGTTATTACCTCAACCTCTTTGTTCACAAACAGTTTGTTAAAGCCTTCCAGCTACCCTGGTCCAGGCCCGAAACAGAACGTCAATTCACACATGACCGTTTGACCTAAACCAGAAATATGTGACCTCACCCATCCTGTTTCATCCCTCCCTTGCCGTCCTTGTTTCTGGGTTTCCTATTATGAACCAGTGATTAACAATATATATATATATATATATATATATATATATATAACTGCATTAGCCAGAGGGAGAATTTATTGAAAACAAGCCTGTTTGCTACCAGCGTTGTTCTGTCAATATCATAATGCGAATCTTCAATGAATGAAATAAGAACCAACCGTGAAAGGTATCCCCGTTTGGTCAGAAAAGTGTGGTAGAGCGAGGCCTCGTAGCTCAGCTGGTAGAGCATGCGCGTACAAATCGTAGGCGGTGNAGGCTACTGAACTTTTCACAATCGACATACATAATTCGATTTTGTTGTTGTTGTTGTTGTTGGTTGATTTCTTCTTTATTCGGATGGATACAAAACCGGGCAACTGGCAGGTATTGTGAATTCAGCGGTAAAGATAAGTCCCGATATTGTGAGCCCGAAAGCGTTAGTGATATGGTCACTTGTCAATGAGGGACTAACCGTAAGTTAGGAGTGAAATTAGCGTCACGCATGAAACGCATTGCTTCATATTAGAGTCGGTCGATTACCGAGGTGAAATGGGGCAGAGTACCGTACGAAAGGAGAATATAATAGTCAGGATTAAAACAAATCTGGGTCAGTTTAATAGATGTTTTCGTAAAAACAGCATCAATGGAAATAAAGCAAAAAACGTCTTTCGCACAAAACAACAAGTAAGCGAAAAGAACGGAGGCTAGAAGACAAATGATAAATAGTAGTACCCATAATGATAACAGGAATAATAATAATAATAATCCTTGCGTAGCCTATTTCCAATTATGAGTTTGGCAATCACCTTAACTACATAGATGCTAATTCGGGATGTTCACTAGTGTCCAGTACTTTTTCAATCCCATTCGTGCTATGTCAACTGAAGGAAAGGTTTGACTAAACAGCATTTCAATTAGCTCAGATAAAAACCACTGCAATGAGATGAAACGGAAGAGTAAACAAGGAAACTACAGGGTTGGATGAGAGCGAAATCGTCGTCGTGATCGAGGATATTGGTCTGAAAGTGAACCGATTATTCTTAAAGATGTCGATGTAATCTGCTGATCTCGATTGATTTTTGCATACGAACCAACCTGTGATGGGAATTGCAAAACTACCAATGATTCTGCATTTGTTATTCGGATTAGCTTCTGGTAAATAGCACTCAGTTCGCAAAACTGAACTCATGTAGTTGGAATCGTAATGGTTCGGAGAAAAAACAGTTCAGATCAGTACTGGAAACTGGAGTTTTCTTTGCAATGCGCATTATTGTAAAGGTCACCAAAGACCTCTGGACAGTTGTTGCGTTCTTGCTGGTGCCATGTTGGGGAACTGGAACGATGAACCGAAGTCCACATCCCTAAGCTAGACTGTCGAGGGTTAACACCTTGAGCGAGCGAATGGATGCATTATTTGCGAATTCAGTGTCTCTATTGGCTCATTTGACTTAACATGCATAAATCACTGCGCATGATCTTTCCCGGTGTAGGTTTCACTCCTTTGGATGTGTTTGAAACGCAGAAGAACTTGCACAGTGCTTAATGTCTGCGAGATTTCACATGGGCTGAGTCAAATCCAAAGGTTGTTCAAATTGGTGAAAACTGCCTACTGGGAAGCACTGGGGCAATAGTGGGGTAATGGGTGTAGACTCGTTGATGAAACAGTTCCGCTGCCCGGGTAACTGAATAATGCATCTAGATTTGACATTTATTCAACCACTATTGATGGTTATTTCCTGACAGAGAACTCAGTTATCATTGTGATTACCATCTATATGAATATATCATTATCATTACATTTACGTGACCTGAAGTTCTGTAGTATCAACTCTGAGATGAAAAGACAATGGAAAAGTTTGATATGGTAACCCTAGCAACTATGTAACGTTCACATTGGGAATAGAGTTTTCTATTATAGCAACTGAAGTGACTAGGACTGAGATGGAAACGAGGTCACCAAACTAACTTAAGACGAAGACCCATGATACAGGTGACTTGATCCACATGCACTTTTATTTATCTTCTCCCCAATCGACACCGTGGCTCACAAACTGTGACAATACAGGGCGTGATAGACTTCATTCAAATAAACTCTCACAAATGTCGTGTTTTTAACCCGAATAAATGCGCTCAATCAGCAAACGTGAATCAGACGTCAACTGAACTACGTGGAAGATACGATTGTCATACTATGTAATGACTCTCATATCGACTTAGGAACAGGTGTGGTGTCAAAAAATAAAATGAAATGGGAAGTTGGGTACAAATGGAGAGAATGATGGGAAATACCACACCACCTTGTGGTGTGATGGCTTGCGTGCCTCAATGACCCCGTGAGCTGTACAAGATGGCTTCTCACGGCCGTAGATCCAATCATGCCTGAAAGGTCAACGGGTAGAGGCCAGACAAAGCTCAGTCTAAAAATGTCAGCTGCTTGGGCACCTCCTGGCTTCCTTCCTTGTATCCACACCCGCCCCTGGAGAGGTCACTCTAGCAAATAAACACGGTGTGAGGCAGTTTACCGGTCGAAAAAACCCCGCTAGATGGACGTAGCAGTGGGGTACCTGGGGCGTCCTCTCGACGGTGGGAGAAATCTTCGCACTTCATTGGACAGCTACCGCCCGCCCAAACT